CTGGACCCTGCTGAGAGGAAATGGTTTCCTAACGAGCTAGAAGGGATAATATACGATACACGATCAAATATATGCCAAGGATTAGCTAAAGATACGGATTTTGATGAAGCTAGTAAAATTTACAAAGGCGGTTTTTCTGTAGCTATTAAAATTTTCATTGAGGACTTGATTTTAGATAAAGATTTCGAAAAAGACGCGAATTAAAATCTTCATGCATCTTTTACTCAGGCGAATGGAGATACTTTGTAATGTACGAGGAAACTGCTGGTAGGGCTCAAAAGATAAGGAGATATTAAAGGCTACTTTAAAAAAAATATTTTGACATTCATAAGTGGCCAATATTGGTCTAAAAATGAATATTTTTATTTTCAAACATAAGCTAATGCACGTTTGTGACAAGAGATGTGTCTCTAGCACCAAACGCAAATTATAGTCTGTTTCAACATACATACGCGTAACGTTAAAGATTTAAGCCCTCTATCAACGTAGAGGGCTAATAACGTAAGGCGCGACCTTAGAGGCCAACGAGGGCAATTTGTAGTGAATTAATACAAGATCGCAGCAAGACGCTGCGGATTAAGGAACCCTGCAGTGAAAAAATCCCCTAAGCAATGAATGACTTGAAACTTTTACAAGACAGGATTAGTATGCTGATACCTCTAATTTGAATAATGAAAAAGACTTTACAGAAGATGATTGCGCAGTTTTGCAAATAGGGTTACTCGTAATTGGGTTCTGCGTAGAAACAATAAGTAAGAAGTTACTTACAACACAAATATTGTTTGCTAAGGGATAATGCAAAATTAAAAGCTACTCTACCAAAATGAAACTTAATTTTATGAGATTTGTATTGGAAATATTGGAATGTAACAAAATATAACACAATCAGAATCTAACAAGAATATGAACGTTATTTTTAAGCTAAACGATATTGAGAAATTTGAAAAGAACGAATCATTATAACATCGAAAAAAATACCAAACGACACTACTGAATTAGAAGACGAATCCGTAGTGACATTGATGGATCAGTATACAACAAACAAGCAAACAAATTAGCTGACAATTAATCACCCTGATCCAATTACCTTGCATTGAATGCAGATCAGAATCCGGCGCCGCGGGACGCCCGTGCCTTGAAAGAAGCTAACAACGTGTAATCACAGGCTGCGATGGCAAATTACAAAATTATGCCAATTCTGAAGAGAAGGATGATGGTAGAGAGAAAACAGATTGCGAAGATCATGTGTATGATATAATTTGGGGACGTGGTTAGTGCTACAATGTGGTAATTAAGATAGACGTAGGAAAGGGTATGGGAGGGCCGGAGGATGATCAAAGAGTAAATTTTAGAGAGAATTTCAGGCAGATATTTAGTATAGCTCTGTCAAATGTTATCCAGATAACGACGAACATAATTTTATTGGCATAGAATAAGTTATAAGACAATCGTATTATATTTGAAATGTCATTTCATGGGTTAAATAGAAAAATTGCAAGTCGATAAAATAGGTTTCCGTATCCTAGTTAGTATCTAGTTTTAAGAAGATATTGATTAAGCTTGTTTTATTGAGCTTACTTTTAGAATGGAAAGTATGTATTTTAAATACAAATAGTCAGGCTTTGTAATTGGTAATTATTGGTAAATTTGCAGTTTATACTCATGCCATTTCAAACCAAACTAAGTAATACTGTGGAAATCACTATTACGATTTTAATCCCAGTCACAAATAGAAATTACAATCAAAATATGACTGTTTCAATAAACATTATAACCGCACCGAATATAGACATCAAAAGACAAACTGAAGCCAGCGAACCTCAAATTGACTGACGGCTTCAAAACGATACGAAGTAAAACAATAACCGTACAAACATTAATAATGGTCGGAACGTTTTCAACAATAACACTCACGAACCCGGTAATGGACCGGCCGACAATAGCTTTTGCTAGAACAAAAGAACAAACTAGAGTTTCGGGAGGCACCTGAAAACTGGCGGCCGAAAGTTGTGAACACGTGGCTTACAAGTGGCACTTACCTCCATGAGCGGCGGGCCATCGCGTCGTCTCGTTCCCACTTTAAAGAGTTTACTGAACCTTCTCGCTCTCTCACACCCTGGTTGATTTCAATTGTTAATTTTGGGATTGGTATTGCAACAATAGAGTCGATTGAACTGAGTGTGACTTGATAATTTTATAGTAGGAAGAGTGTAGGGCCGAATGAAGACCCTTGCAGTGCGCTTTGTGAATTTGGTTCAGTGCAGCAATGCAGTGGATTTGGCCGGGGGGTGAGAGAGTGGGACCTCCGCCTCCGCGGACGGTCCACGGAGGAATGTACTGCTTCCCCGGCAACACGCCAGGACCTCGTGCCGAAACTATGAACCTTCTCCAAAGCTGATGAGGGGTCGGCCCGCGCAGGCGCCCTGGACGCGTGCCGTCCCTCTCACACCCGAAGGGAGTGTAGAAATGGGGAAGCAACTTTGGGGATGATTTCGGAGGGTGAAAAGACGATGAAAGATGGAAATGCATCTCGCGCTTCGCTCAGATTTCCGTTCGTGATTTTGTTTATTGATTCGTATCGGGGCGAGGACTTGGGTTTATTAATCCCCATCAAGAGTTTTACTGCTTTTATTATTTGACCAATAAAATTTATTATTCCGCCTTCATTAATGTCCAAGTTATCTCTATCTACACAGGCATTATAATATCGTAAGATTTATTGACGCTTCAAAAACCACAATCAATTTTAGTCTCTACCCCATCGGCATTAATACAGTTCCAGTTCTTTTTTAATCCAAATAGTTACCACAATTAATTCGCAAAGCTCACAGTCACACCTGTAACTAACCTGTAAAAAATCTCTTTCTGCTCATCAAAAATCAACCCTATACTCCTCACAAACGGTTGATTATAATTTCTTCGCCAGTTAACCCTCAACATTTAATGGCATTCGCTATTCGCGGGGCGTCGTTCATTTTCGTGGGGTTGCTTGCTGTTCAGTTGCCAGCGGGGTTGACAGTTCAATTGATATGAAACGCTTGTACGCGTTTATGTTAGTGTTGCACAATTTATTGGTAGCGAGTTTTATGAATAACTTTTTAGATTTAGAGAGACTTTTCGTAAAAGAGCGTTCCATTCTCTGTAATTTTAAGATTTATGAATACAATACTCTTAGACAGATTTAGGATTTATTTAACAGAAAACTTTCATTATTAAAACTTCTTGTGTCTTTTGGAACATAAAACACATTAAAAATACAAAAACATGAAGAAAACCACATAGGTATTGATCCTACTGAAGACGCTTTCCAAAACACGTTTAGTTCAGCTTTTGGCCACAAGGAAGCTTGTGGCGCTGTTTTTGGACCCCTGCTTGCATCAGGCACCATCTATTGACAAAATTTTGAAACGTGTTTTAAAGCCCGCGTTTTGAGTTTGTTTTTTTGCGCAGTGACAAACTAGATGGCGTTACTGTGAGTACTTTACAAGTTTGAAAGTGTAAAAAAAAAGTTTATTGTCAAATACGCAAGTGTGTTTTTACCCGATTGCGCCAGAAGGAGGGTTATGTTTTTACATAAACACTTGAGCAAATTCTATGGTTTCCATTTCAACCCTATCAAATAAATATTATTGTAACGTGTTTTCTCAAAAGCCATTCACTTCCAATTACCATGGATGCGCTTTAGTGCGCTTTAAAGCACTCGAAGCTTAAAGTTTACTTAACATATTGCTGTATCCACTTGTATTGAGTGTTTGTTGATCTATGACAATTTACAACAATATTGTTGGAATAATAATTCTGCTATCTCATGGAATAACATTTATAAATTAAAGGATACTTAAGTAATTTATTGAAATCTAGCTTTTTGTAGAGCAGTTATTTCGGTGGAATTTGATTAAGGATCCTTTAGTTAGAAGATAGTTTGACACCTAGGTAAAAACAGGATAGCTTTTTTATCCCGGGTTTTAAAACGCGTGCTATAGTGTGTCTATGATTGATCGCTCACCAGAGCGAAACTGCGGGCAAAAACTAGTAATAAATCAATCACAGGATTAAATCTACACTCAAGTTTTGAGCATTGTTTATAAATTCAATTGGTTAATGACCAATGGAATTAACAAGTAGCAATTTTATGAATAGCTGACAGTTACTTTTACAAATTCTTTTATTTCGACCTCTGTTCTTAGTCTGTATCCTACTAATCCTACTATAATATTATAAATGCGAAAGTTTGGATGTCTGGATGTTTGTTACTCTGTCACGCAAAAACTGCTGAACGCATTTTGATGAAAGTTTTTAGTATTATTGTTTATAACCCAGAATAACATATAGGCTAGAATTTATGACGATCTATGACAAACTAAATTTCACGCGGGTGATGCCGCGGGCAAAAGCTTTATTCTTTCATATGCAAAACTTATACTCAAATCGCTCACAGCATTACTCCCAAAACTCCTCATGTGGACGTAATGGTAGACCTTTGGAAGAGGGGGTAGTTGGAAATTTATTTTGCTTACACGCAGCAGGGCGCCATGTCATCGGGAGTGGAGGCGATTTGGCGGATAAAAAAATATTGCCCCTTCTTAAGAGCAGCGAAAAAACCTTTTGTTTTGGTGAGGAGAGAATTTTGAAACGAAACAACTGATTTAGTAGCTTTAAAATCGTGAAATGATTGAAACAAATCACTGATTTATAAGTAAAGTAAATACTGAATATTTCTTTAAGCATGTCCCTAGCAAATAGTCTTCTTAACTGGAGAACTGACATCATAAAAATCATCAGCAGCATCTGTCTATAGTCCAAGAAGCCACCTTTAAGGAATATGCCATTTAATTCTTTGAGATTTTCTCTCCTTTTCTCATAATTGCTGCGCCAGAAGGATGGTTATGTTTTTCCAGCGTATTTTATTTAATAAGAAAATATCTTTACGTAAATACTTTTCTAAAGTCACCAACTAAGACTCAAAATGGTGTGTACAATTTGTATATTTATCTACTTACCTATAAACTAAGTTTCGTTTCTCGTTTCGTTCGTCTTCTATCTCTAGTAGGCACTTGTGTCGCTGCGTTTTGTTTAAGGCACGTGGTTTCAGTTTTTGTTTGTTTTATTTCTTCACATCGCAGTCTTTGTACCTGAGGAAAAAAGAAAAATCTTTTATGAACAAAATGATCATATCATCTACATAAATAATACATGTAAGATCAATAAAATGACGATTCAAAAGTTTGCAAGGGGACTATCATATCTATGATTTATTATTGACATAAATCACCAACAAATTGCATTCGCAATGCACTTTAAGTCATTACGCGTGAAGACATTGAATCCGAAATCAGCGCTTCCTTTCAATTCCTCAATTTATCTAATCATAAAATTTTATTGCCGATACAAAACATAATAAATCTCGATTCCAAAGATACTAATACATTTTTATCTAACAATAAATTGAGGCGGATCAAATTGGTCCTTCGAAACCGAGCTACATGTTGGGCGCCAAGTTTCTGTGGGGGAGCGAGAGGGGTGTACCGAGGGTGTTGCTGTCTCGGTCGGGGCGCCGGGCAGCCGGGCGCCGTCTGCGGCCCGTCTGCCGCCTCTGCGGAGCCCGTTACATAACCAGCTCGGGTCGGGCCGCGGTCCGGGATCCGGGTCATTGAATCGGTGATGGACTGGTTTCGCGGTGGATTATAATGCCGTGTTTTTGCAGGGGTTTAGGTGTTGTTGATGGCCGGTGGAGGGATTTCCTTGTTTATTAGTTTTTTTAATATCCGGAAGCTGACGCACTTTTCCGCTCTATTTGGACCTTTAGTTCAATCTACGGTAAGTTTAAGTCACATTTGTTTGTCGTCGATAGAGGTTTAATCCCGAGTTATTAAACTAATCTTAGTTTAGAGTCTACAAAATAGATCTTAGTTATGAGAACATAAGATTCTAATCAGAATTAATGAATACACAAGTCAAGGAACCGAAGTCACTAATGCCTGGTATCCTCATTAGGGTTACTTACGTAATAAATCGTTTGGTCTAAGAACCTTTTAGCAAAATTGAGTTAGTAAGCTACCTTTCTGCGAGGAAAAGTGTAGATGATAAACTATGTAAAATATGTATTTTTCAAGACATATTCTTGAAGTGACCCCTGATAATGAACATAATGAACCCTGGGTTCAAATCCAGACGGGGCTTACAAGTGGAGGAAAAAATATTTTCAAGCGTATATCAAGCAGTTTCTAATCAGAAAGATGTTTTAAGAAGAGGTATATTAAAACAGCTGTCGTGCAAATTAAGGCAAACATACATGATTACTGTAAAGTGAGTAAACGCAAGTATTTATACAGGCCATACGAAAAAGTGGTTGTATGAAAATTTTAATTAATAAACCTCTTAAAATGTAGATTTAAGCTATTATCGCCCGTATTCACAAACGATGCTTGTTTTTAAGTGAAGCAGCAAATCGAACGCACAACGTCGAATAGAGCTCCATGATTAGTTCGTGTGTGACACTGTGCGTCCACGCACACAGTGAGACCTCATAGTATGTTTGTGAGTACGGGCGTAAGTACCAATTTCATTGTATTCCACTACTTATTAGTCATATTTTATGCCATCAATATTGTCAATTTACCAGTAGCAACAAACAATCGGCAGTCGCTTATTCCATACTAATGTAATGATGACTGTGACCCATATATGGCACGAATGCGTCTAATCAACTATTGTACAACATTTGCCCGGCATACTTCGCCATGCTAACAACTACCGCACACATACACTTAGGGCTGCTGCCTAAGCGATTAATAAACAAAAATTTAATTGATTCGAACTGCCTAATGTCGGAATCGAATCCACGGCGTTAAAAATATTTATATCGAGAGGCGACTCTTAACGCCAGAAAAAAAATCATAACTAAACTAGTTTGTACCAATTTCATTGTATTCTACCACTTATTCTTATTACTTATATTTTATGCAACAAATAATCGGCGGTCGCTAATTTCATACATAATGACAATAATGATGACTGTGACCCATATATGGCACGAATGCGTCTAATCAACTATTGTACAACATTTGCCCGGCATACTTCTCCATGCTAACAACTATGTACCGCACACATACACTTAGGGCTGCTGCCAGAGTGATACAATTATTTTGTTTAAATAAATAAATTTAATTTATTATTATTATTATCCCTTTATTCAATTTCCTTCTTATTTTTAATATTTTTTTACAATGTAAATTATAAAAAAACTAAAAATACATAATAAAAAAAATTCTTAAAAATAGTTAATCCGCTGGTAGCGGAGCAGGGCCCAAGCTACCGGTGGTCAGGGTCACAGGCTGAGGAACCTCCGGACAATGCGTGCCGTGCTGAGGATCACCGCCTTTTGAATCTGACCCTTGAGCCAACCATCTAGCGAGAGCTTCTTTAGATGTTGGTCGAAGCTATTATTATTATTATTATGTTTGTACGCTTTGGAGCTCACGGGTCAAAAGTGGCCCGGTCCTTTATAAGGCTTGCGTGGGGATACAGATCCAACACGTAGAGGCCGTTTTAAGCGCAAAATAATCGACAAAAGTGAAAGTGGTGCACATGCTGGATCTTGTCTCTGACCATATCATGGGATGTAGCCAGAGATTATTATTATTATTGAAAAGTATTTAAAAAATTCGTTAAGTAATTCAGTAGTATGTATTTTGGAGAAAGCCTATGTTAGTATCTGTCGTCCTGAAAATGAAGATGATAAATTCAGTAAAGTGGGCAAATAATTAGTGTAAAACTGCAAACAGAAATAGATGAATAAGTAAGATATTACTAGTATGTACATACGTTTAGATGTGAAGTTTCGTGATCCGTGCTTACTAATATTATAAATGCGAAGTCCATTTCACGATTAAACCACTGAATCGATTTAGATGAGACTAAGAGGCATGGAAAGAATTTGAGACCTAAGGTAAACTAGTTATTAATCGATTTTTGAAAGGGGGACAAGTGCACGATAGTCTATAATGTGTAAGTTGAAAATTCACGCCCCAGGAAGTCGTAGGAATTCGTTATACTAGTATAAATAATATAATAAATAAATAAATCTTTGGACAATTTCACACAGCGCTGCAGCGCCAGCTAGCCCCAAAGTAAGCAACTTAATGCTTGTGTTATGGGTGCTAGCTTAACGGATATACTACTTATATACTTTTTTTTAATACATAAATATTATACATAGTCACACCCAGACCCGTCACAGAAATTAAAATTCATCATTTCAATTTCTGCCCGGCCGAACCACTACACCAAACGGCCGACTAAGGATAAGGAGTATAGGTAGTCAGTATTAATAAAGTTCCAGTCTTTTGTTTATCTTTTACGTTATTCAATAAAATATGATGTTAATCTTCAACACTATTTATTAAAAAAAATCCATAGTATGTCTTGTGACAGCCCTGATCAATATGGCGTCCTCGTTATCATGCGCACGCGCCTATCTCGCGCCGACTGCGGACGGCAGCCGCTGATCTACATGACATGCTACTGGTGGACATAATAATGTTGTTGTGCGATAAGTGTGCGCGAAAGTTTTCTCAATTATAGAGAGTGTCAGGGATNAACTCATCTTTTTTATCGCGCTTGTCATCCGAGCAACATTGTTGAAACTGGCTCCTGTTATTTAATTCCAAAAATGAGTTTAAAGCATTGTAATCAGTGATAAACTTGTGTAAAAACTTGCGTCTCCTAAGTGACAATCATGTGAAACAATAATTAAAGTGATTTGGATTGTGTCAGTGACGAAAAACTGAAAATACTGATTTGTGTTTTGCTTATAAATTGGACGGACGGTCAGTTCGATATATTTTTTCTGTCTGACAAAAACACAAGTACCCACTGGACACTGACAGAAGCAACTTCATGCGTAAACAGTTTGCGTGTTTCGTCCGATCGCATTAAGTGCAATTGGCCTTGCGGCGTAAGCGTCTGTCTATATCGTGCGGACCCGAGTTCAAATCCGGACGCCCGGAAATTTTTGGGTTTTATTTTTAATTACAAATTATAAAAGGATGCATTGCTCCGCTTGTAGAAATGCCGTACTCGGCCGGGATAGCAAATTAGAGTGTAGACAGTGTCGCAGCAAATATCATATCGAGTGCTTGGGCATTAGTAAAGAACAATACTCGTCATTGCAAGCTGACTACCGAGCAAGTTGGATATGCCCAAGCTGTAACAACATAACCAGGCGTTCAAGGCGAAACATTAATACACCAATCCGACTTACACAAGTGCCCCCTGCTGATGAGTCGATGAATATATCGTACGAAATCTCGGATAAATCGACTGTAGTATCTCCACCACCTTCTGGTCACGACAGTGACGTCGTGACTATGGATAAAATCAGTGCTTTGCTGGATCAAAAACTGCAGGCGTACCTGGCTGTCTTCACAGATAACTTCAGAGAAACACTTAAGACCGATGTTCACAATTTAGTTCAAGCGGAGATGGACTCCAAAATCCAAAAGCTTAAAGAAGACTTTACAGTCACCACAGATTTTATATGCGAAGAACAATCATCTTTGAAACACGAGATAGACAACAAAGCACGAATTATCAAGGATCTTGAGGCTAAGAACTCTCAACTTCAAACTCAACTCAATTCATTGAATAACCGTCTGGCATCTATAGAAAAGATGTCGCGCAATCAGAACATAGAGATTCAAGCAGTACCCGAGAGTCGAAATGAGAATCCGTCTGCCATATTTCAAAACCTTTGCAAAGCTATTAATCTTCAAATGACTGATGACAAAATCCATTCTTGTCGTAGAGTCGCCAAGCTGAACCCCTCCTCGGACCGACCTCGTAACATACTCGTAACACTGGTCAATCCGCGTTTGAGGGACGAGGTTCTCTCTGCGTGTCATCGTTATAACAAGCAGCACAAGAACGAGCCCTTGAACACTACCCATCTCGGGCTACCCACAGAAAGGCACAGAATCTATATTACCGAACACCTCTCTCCGGACTGCAAAGCTTTACACGCAGCTGCTAGAAAAGCGGCCAGAGAGAAGAATTACAAATACGTTTGGGTCAAATACGGGCGTGTCTATATGCGCAAGGAGGATACAGCAACTTGTGTTCATGTTAAA